TCCATCACTCATGGTCAGTGATTCAATCAATGCTGCCTATATAATTAAGCCTCCATAAAACCCAAAAAGGCCAGATTTTGAAGAGCTTCCAGATTAGAAAACACTGGAGATTTGAGAGAGAGCAGTGCACCCAAAGGGGGTAGGAAAAGACTTCACCCTTTCCCCAAAGCTTACCCTATGCATCTCTTCCATCTGACGGTTTCTGCCTTACATCCTTTAATAACAAACCATAAGCTAGAAACATGTTACTTATGTTTCTTTGAGTTCTGTGAGTGGCTCTAACAAATTAATGGGACCCAAGGAGGTCATTAGAAGGTGACAATCTAAACTTGAACTTGACTATCTAAAGTGGAAGAAGACAGTCTCCTAAATCTCAGCCCTTAATCTGTGGTAAATTTCCAACAATATCTCCAGGTAGGTAGTGGCAGAGTTCAGTTGATTATAGAACAACCAACTGGCATTTGAGAATTGCTTGGCGGTGTGGAAAACACCCTGAACCCCCTACCATACACACATTGGAATTAAATGAAAATTGGGGGCAGATTTTTAAAAATAGGTTTTTATTGATTTTAGAGAAAGAGGAAGGGAGAGGGAGAAAGAGAGAGAAACATCTATCGGCTGCCCCCAGCATACCCCCAGAGCATGTGCTCTGAGCCAATGAATTTTTGTTGCCTGGGGTAATGAATGCTCAACCAACTGAGCCACACTGGCAAGGGCTGGGGGCAGAATCTTAACAACTTTAAACAATACCAAGTGGCTATCATATGAATAGATGGAATATACTGTCCTCTTGAGCTAATGTTTGATAAATTATTACTGCTTTTAGTTTAACTTTTATAAGAGTTGTAACATTATATATCTTAATAGTACATTAAAATACATTTCCTTAGAAATAAATATTCAACATATCTCATCACCGTCAGAATTTCAAAATAAGTATATGTCCCCCTATATTATTCAACATTTCCTTATCTAGTATTAAAATTGTCTGACATATTTACTTTTTCTTTTACATTTTACATTTTTAGGTCACTAATAGTTTTACATTCAGGCCACTTATATTTTTTCTAAAATCATAATAAAATAAAATTCTGGATTTGAAATCACCAATCCATTTTCTACTGCCATCCAGTGATGCTATTGGAAAATGTTGAGCAGATTAATGTGCTTGGGTTACCAATCCTCAGGGAGAACTCTAAACACTTCCACCCTTTGCACCATGGTATTAGTCTCCTCAAGAAGAACTCAATGCAGTCAAGAACTGGATGGAACAATGCTTAGAGAAGAGAATGAGCAAGGTCAGCTTAGGCACTGGCATACCAGGGCCAGCAGGTCTTTCCTGGAGGCCAATGCATGGCAGTGTTCCTACATATACCCTGAAGACATTGTGCCCTTGCTAGCAGGAGGATTGGCTAGATGCCATATAATGCACATGCTTGTAGCAAAGAAAAAAGAGCATTCATTTAGACTGAAACAGGGAACTGTATTTCCACACAAAGTGATAAGTTGGGAACACTCTGTATTTATTTATTTATTTATTTATTTATTTATTTATTTATTTATTTATTTATTGGTTTATTTATTGGTTTCTTTATTTCTTGGTAAGGAAATGTCCCGAGCCCAGGTCCAGTCTTACGTAGGCAAGTGGGTAATGAAAGACTGCATGCCTATGGATACTGCCTTCCCCAACAGAAAGTCTGATTGAAATCCACTGCTTTTCTTTTGTAAATGACTGTTTTTGTAATAGTCGTTGGGTTTTTAGGATCTCTTTATTCTTAATGTTTAGCATTTTATGATAATTTTCTGGTTCTGTTTTATTTTTAGTTTGGTCATTCAATATAAATACACTATCTTCAACACTGAGCATTTTTTCTATATTTTTTAACATTTTTCTTTCTCAGTATTTTCTGTTCTTACTTCTAGAGGCAAGCACATTAGGATTCTTGAACTTTAGATAACATCTCACATGTCCCATTTTTATCTTTTTATTTGGCTTTTATTTTTAGCAACATTTTTATTTTTAACCATATATATTTAACATGTGTATTTATTATATGTGTCTATGAATATATGTGTATATTAGTGTGTGTTTATGTGTGATATATGTATATGTGTGATAAATTTCCCAAGTGTAAAAATTAGTTTAGGGACCCATGACTTTAAACCTGCATGGATAAATTATATTGCATACACCCTACATACACATATTAATATATATCAAGTTAAAAAAATTAATGCCTTGTGAAAAATGAGGTAAAGCAAAATGAGATAAAATTATTCAAACAATGAATTATCTAAATGCATATAAATAAAATAAATCACATTGCTGAAAAAAAAATGAAGTGGTTTCTGTGAATAAAAGTAAAAATTTCAATAAATAAATAAAAATCCTTTCATAGTCCTATGGTCCAAATAACAAAATGAACCTGAAAACATATGTTAATTTGTATTCAGTAAATTTTCCACTGTTGAATTAAAATTAGCACAATCTCTTGCTAAGAAATTTGAGAACAATTTTTAAGTAATTGTTTGTGCTCATTGTGTTTCATTTTGCCTTAGAAGTTATAAAAGCATACTACAGATAGCCATAGTTTAGCCTATGATTATTTTTTTTATCAATTCAGTTTTTAAGTTTTAAGTCATTTTATACATTCAGTCTATGTTTTGCAAACATAATTCTAATTTTTCCATGCAATTTCTGCCTTTTCACCCTATCTTTTTATTTTTTACTAGAGGCCAGTTGCATGGAGGGGAGGTGTCCCTTAGCCCAGCCTGCACCCTCTCTAATCTGGGACCCCTCAAGGGATGTCCGAGGGGCAGTGAGACATCCCTCTCACAATCCAGGACTGCTGGCTCCCAACTGCTCACCTGCCTGCCTTCCTGATTGCCCCTAACCGCTTCTTCCTGCCATCCTGATAACCCCCTAACCACTCTGCTGACAGTCTGATTGATGCCTAACTGCTCCCTTGCCACCCCATTTGCCCCCAACTTCCCTCCTCTGCCGGCCTGTTCACCCCTAACTGCCCTCCCTTGTAGGCCTGGTGCCTCCCAACTGCCCTCCCCTGCTGGCCTTATTGTAATGGCTATCTTGTGTCCACATAAGGGTAGGATCTTTGACCACATAGGGGCAGCCATCTTGTGTGTTGGAGTGATGATCAATCTGCATATTACTCTTTTATTAGATAGGATTTTATTTTCTATTGTTGAAAATATTACATATGCCACCTTTCTCGCCCCCCCCCCCCCACTGACCCTCTCCAGCTGTCCTCTGCCCCAGGCCCTCATCAACCCATTGCTTCTGTCCATACAAGGTCCTTGGTTGATTAGCTCCCACCCACACTCCCTCCCCTGCCTTCCCTCCAAGATTAGCATTCTGTTCCAATGCCTGCAGTCTCTGGACCCCCTCTGGTCATCAGTTTATTTTGTTACTTAGATTCCACATATGAGATCATGTGATATTGTCTTTCTCTGAATGACTTATTTCACTTAGCATGATATTCTCCAGGTCCCTCCATGCTGTTTCAAAGGGCAAGAGCTTCTTCTTTTTTTACTGCCTCAAAGTATTCCATGATATAAATGTAATATAGTTTCTTTATTATCCACTCATCTACTGATGGGCACTTGGGCTGTTTCCGGATATTAGCTCTTGTAAATTGTGGTAGTATAAATGTAGGAAGGGGTGCATACATTCTTTCTGATTGGTGTTTTGGGTTTCTTAGGATATATTCCTAGAAGTGGGATTCTGGGTCAAATAGCAGTTCCATATATATATATTTTATTTTTTATTTTTATTTTTATTTTTTTTTAAGGAAACTTCATACCATTTTCCATAGTGGCTGCACTAGTCTGCATTTCCACCATCAGTATACTAGGGTTCCTTTTTCTTCACAATCTCACCAGCACTTCTCATTTGTTGATTTATTGATGGTAGCCATTCTGACAAGTTTGAGGTGATACCTCCTTGTCCTTTTAATTTGCATCTCTCAAATGATTTGTGACTTTGAACATTTTTTCATATGTCTCTTGGCCATCTGCATGTCCTCTTTGGAGAAGTGTCTATTTAGGTCCTTTGCCCATATTTTAATTGGATTGTTTGTCTCTCTGTCTGTGGATTCATTCTTTGATTCCAGCAGACAATCCGAGTTCCAGTCCAAAAATTCCGTATCAACATCAGACTAGTTGTTTTCCAATAGTCCATGGTTGGGGTCCACATGACCATGAGCCATGTGGGCTAGGGTAGAGTGTAAGAGCATACCCCTCCCCCACAGTAAGAGTGTAAAGAGAGTAAGAGGGTCTGGAAGGGCAAGGGAGAGAACTCCCTTTGTTTAGGAGTTCATGTACAATACTTCAGATTTTGTGCCCTTGTAGTGGCCACACCTATTCTGGCCAATAGCCTGCTCCCAGCTGTGACTGACAGAAAATCACCTTCTCTCTTTCACCCAGACTTTACTGGTCATGCTTACAATATTTGGCTTTCCCTCTGTTCCTATTCACTTAATTAATAATTGGATCAATCATAACAATATCACTACCATGGCTTTAATTACATATTAATTATTTATTTTTCAATATATTTCACGTGTAAAACACTAATATATTTGTTATTCAGCTTTAAAATGAGAAATAAATGATAATTACAATTTTGTATTCTTGTTCTTCTCATTAATTTTCAATTTTCCCTTAAAAAAACAAAAAGCATCTGGAACAATGATTCAATATAATGGACCCTCTAAAATTAACTATGTTTTGTTTTAGTAAGCTTATTTGCTAATATTTTAAAAAATATGTACTATTAATATTATAAATATGTATTATATGCATCATAAATATTATATAAGTATTATATTTATGATGTATATAGTACATATATAAAATTTGCTGTTTTAAGTAAGTCTAGTGTAAATTTCCTGGCATTAATTACCTTCATAATGTTGTGTAATCATCACTACTATTTTCAAAACAAATTTATTACCTTAACAAAAACTATGGAACAATTAATTAAAAATATGGAACAGTAAAAGTTACATGTTGTTCTTATGCAAGGACCATGCTAAGCTTCTCTGTATTGTTCCAATTTTAGTATATGTGTGGAAAAAAGCAAACATATGTGGCTTTTCTCAAAATAATTTCCATGAAGAGATTTAGAAAATCCAGAAATGGAATGATTATATTCCAGTGATAATTAATAATAAGTAAAATTTGGGTGGTGCTTGAGCCTTGTTCCTTCCATTCTCACTGAATTCTGAAATGCTAAAATTCTTCACCCATCTTTATGCTTCTGGGACTGGGTGGCACAAGCCTGAGATCTTAAAATGGTGTAAAGCACCAATATGTCAGGAGTATACTTTTTCAGTCACATGGGGTTTGGTGCCTTGGTTGATGTCATTGTTGTTATGGATGTGTGTTTGCCCCTTAAAAAATTTTATTTATTATGATTAAAGAGAAAATAGAATATATTGACATTAGAGAAGTATTTTTTTTTTTACTTCAACCAAATATGTGAAATTATGGATAAAGTAGGAATTTGAGAATGTCTATGAGGGAGTTTCAGAATACAATATGTTTTTGTGTCTTAAAATTAAAAACCAGATATGATAATAATAACAAATATAAATACAAATATAGAGTTAATGAAAAAATGGTGATTGAATTAATTCTATACATTTATAATAAAAATGCATTATCCAGCATTACTCCTATAGTTCTTTGAATCAATATGCAACAGCTCCATATTAAGTTAAGAAATATAGAGATTAAAAATGGCAGCAGAGTAAGTGGATGCTGCACAAACATGTTCTCAACACCTAACTGGAATTACAACTAAAATACAGAAAAACTTCATGAATAATCAAGAGAAGACTTGCTTGAGAGAACCCTATTAACCAAGGACCAAAAGTGGAGACTGAATTTAAACAGGTAGGAGGGGAGGAGGAGTGAAAGGGCAGGCTGGGCTCAGACAGACATCACCTGAAGTTCCAAGAGATATCTCAGCCATGGGAGGGTTGCCAACAAGACTTCTAGGGTCTAATCCCCAAGCTAAGTGCCCTAACAAAGAGCAGTAGAACAGAGAAGGGTACCCACATAACATCTAGCTGTGCAAAGCAGCAGAGTTGCTGTTGGCTAGGCAGAGACAACTAGAAATCCAGGCACCCTCTTAAGGGGCCGATGCACAAAATTCCCTGTGGAGCCACCCGTCTTGTGCACCAGCAGAGGAAAGGCTGAGTGGAGAGGAGCTGAGTGAGCAGAAGCCAGGATTGGGGGCTCTGAGGCTAGAACTCAGAAGGCAGACAGTCTGGTTTCCTGTGCTGAGTCATTCCCTCACACTGCAGAGGCCCTCTTCCTCACGCAAGCATTAGCTGGACAGGTAGCTTTGCCTTGGGGGAAAATCATGTCAACCATCTTCTCAGGTCACAGTGGGATGAAATGAGAAATCTACCACAGTAAAAACACCTGAAAACATTCCAACACCTGAGGGCTAAATAGTATATTAAATAATGAATGTGTTACCGATGAGATTAAGAAATAAAAAAAACTTCCTGAAAACTAATGAAAATGAACATGCAACAACCCCAAACCTGGCCTATTTTACCCCTAAAATTCCCGTTTCAATGCTCTGCTGGACTCAGCTCCACCATGGGGTGGAAACTTTGGACTCTGATTTTGCTTCTAGCTCTACCCAGCTGCACCTTTTCCTGGACTTTGGAAATGGGAGGAATATAATTTCACAAAAATAAGCCTGTCTACCACATCTCTTCCTTTCATGTGGGCCTCCTTATTCCAGCTGCTCCTCAAGAATGCCACTCGCACTAGTGAAGGAGAAATTTCACCTATGTAATCCTCCAATCACAGAGGGACGTGGGGGACATAAATAAAAAAAAATATGTCTTAGTCTGTGGGTATTGAAGTACAGTGTGGGAGGAAAGAGAAGAGGGAGAAATAGTTCCTTTGGTGGGTTTGACCCTGCCTATAATTAAGCACTGAACATCCTCAACAACTTGCCGCCAGTCCTCACAGAGGCTGGTTACTGACACTGCAGTGAAGAAAGATTAGTTCCCTTATCAGATCTTTTTCTCTTCCTGCACTGTTTCTCCTGTTTTGTCTTTTAGTGTTTCTCTTTCCTTATGTTTTTGCCAGTGTGATTTTCCTGCCTCCTCCTTTTTCTTTTTCTGATTTTTAACTCATCAGGTCATTCCTCCAAATAAATTTCTTGTTTATACACAAATTGTTGTACAGTTTAATCTGCCATTTGTTCAAAATGTACTTATGAATTTCTTGCCATTTTGATGAAACTGTCCCCTCACTAATTTCAATTTTCTTATTCAGACTACTAAAGCCAAAATATATTTTATTGTACTTCTGTATTTACAAAAATTAATTTTAAAATATATTTTATTGATTTTTTTTTACAGAGAGGAAGAGAGAGGGACAGAGAGTTAGAAACATCGATGAGAGAGAATCATCGATCAGCTGCCTCTTGCACAGCCCCTACTGGGGATGTGCCCGCAACCAAGGTACATGCCCTTGACCGGAATCAATCCTGGGACTTTTCAGTCCACAGGCCGACGCTCTATCCACTGAGCCAAAACCGGTTTCGGCTACAAAAATTAAATTTAACATGCTCCTATCTTTTAATTTTTGTCTCACAAATAAGATAATTCTAGAACTGTTCTGTCCAAAAAATATAAACATTAAAGTATATGTACTAAACACAAATTATTTCATTTTGAACTGCTTCAGAGAACATCATTAACACCATTAGAAAGTGCCAGATTTATCATGATAATCCTTTACTGTTCTCTTACCTAAAAATGCAAATCAAAATAAGGTTCATTTTATATCTGCTGAATTAGCTAAACTACTACAAATTCAATAATAATATCATAGAAATGTGATCATGGAAGAAACACAGCATTTGGATTAAGAAGAACTAGGTTTTTGTTCAGATCTTTCATTTATTTGCTTAGAAGATCTTTAAAATTTAACCATTTAAAGAACAATATAGGGCCAAGACCAGTTTGGCTTCAGTGGATAGAGCTTCGGCCTGCGGACTGAATGGTCCCATGTTCGATTCCGGTCAAGGGCACGTACCTTGGTTGTGGGCACATCCCCAGTAGGGGGTGTGCAGGAGGCAGCTGATCAATGTTTCTAATTCTCTATCCCTTTCCCTTCCTCTGTAAAAAATCAATAAAATATATATATTTAAAGAACAATATAGGTTTACTAATAATACCATGCGCCTGACCTAATAATTCAGTTAGCTTGAGAAACAACAAATAATACCTTTGAAATAATTGTATAAACTAAGGAAAACAATTATTGTAAATATTTTTAAATTTGGCAGTTATTGTAAATGTACAGAATTTTGGGAGAACAAATGTATCAGTGGAAGCATATGAAAAGTCCATTGGCATGAAATGGAATTCCTAACAAGAAAGTGTCTACAAAGAATACTTTTTTCTATACTACCAAAGTTTCACTTGTCTCTTGTCATTTTCGTTTTCTACTCTCACCTGGCAAAGAAAAAAAGAGATTTCAATTCATCTACTGATAATAGGAGCTCGTTGTGTCTAGTGAAATTCATTATTGCTTTGATTTTTATATAGTTCCTTTTAATTTTGTTTGAGTTGTCATCTCTTGTCATGTTCACTTTTTCGTGTAGTCTAGGTCACCCTGATCTGTACTTTGATTCAATATTCATTTCTTTGCTACTATGACACACTATATAATGACATGAGTGTCTATCATGGAGATAAAATATCTTTTGCTTGCTTTTAAATAGTGAGTTGATGTTTTTGATGCTGCATATACAAAAATAATGCATTGAAAAAATATAAAATTAGTTTTGATTAAATAGAAAATTTAAATGAGAGCCAAGAAAATAAAATAGCACCATATTGTAGCTAAGAGATATAAATCTGTATTTTACTTGTGCTTAGTTTCCCTCAATGCTTATAGAAAATATTGCAGACTGTATTTTTCTAGGAATATGTCCATTTCATCAATGTTGTCCAGCTTGTTGGAATATTTTCCCACAGTATTTTTTTCTGATCCTTTGTATTTCTGTGAGTTCATTTGTTACTTTGCCTCTTTTGTTTCTGATTTTGTTTATTTGGATCATCTCTCTCTCTCTCTCTCTCTCTCTCTCTCTCTCTCTCTCTCTCTCGATGAGTCAGCTAAAGGTTTATCGGATGTGTTTGTCTTTTCAAAGAACCAGCTCTTGGATTTGTTGATCTTTTGTATCATTCTGATCAATGGTACACACACGCACTTTCTGAGTAGCACTTCAAGACATATGAAGTGGACAATTGGGTCTCTGAATTGTTTCCTCAAAAATTCAATTGTAACACTATCCACAAATTACCTGAAATATGGAGGAAATACGTAACTAGCAATGGACATTACTTTTAATAAAGCACTTTTGATGTTTCTCTTGAAATTATAGTGTTTTCTTTAATTATAAAATGCAAATTATTAACTGGTACAACTAGTAAACATATTTAAAGACAAAAATCACATGATCATATTAATAGATGCAGAAAAAAGCATTCGATGAAATCCAACACCCGTCTTTGGTAAAAACTCTAAGCAAAGTGGGAATAGTGAGATCATACTGCAACATAATAAAGACCATATATGAAAATCCTGCAGCCAATATAATACTCACTGGGCAAAAACTAAAACCATTTCCCCTAAGAACAGGAACAATACCAGCATATCTGCTTTTACCACTCTTACTCAACATAGCACTGGAAGGCCTAGCCAAGCAATTAGACAAGAAGAAAAAATAGAAAGCATCCAAATTGGAAAGGAGGAAGCAAAACTCTGATTATTCACAGTTGACATGATATTGCACATAGAAAACCCAATAGAATCCACCAAAAAACAACTAAGTTTAATAAATGAATTTGGCAATATAGAAGGACATAAAATTAACACCCAAAAATGGATGGCATTTTTATATATCAATAACGAAGTCTCCTAAAGAGAAACTAAACAAGCAATCCCACTTACCATTGTAACAAAAAAATTAAGATACTTAATTAATAATAACCTTAACCAAGGAGGTAAAAGACCTGTACTTGGAAAAGTACAGGACATTGAAA